GATGACCTTCGCATGTGAAGTTTCGGCCTCAGGAGGGTTGAGGGTTTAGTTGGAATGGTCCAAAGGACAAGTTTAGAAGCAGCACAATCATCTGGGATAATGAAAAGGTCAGAATGACCACAAGACAATCAATCAACATTCAACAAGTAGTGCTAATAGTACACAAAATCAACACTTAAGTGACGTTGATTCAATTCAACCTAGCAGACAATCATCGTTGAGAGCAATCTGTTCTAGTCAAACAATTCCAAATTATCTACATAAAGATCATTCAACGCTGGTAGCAACAGCAAAAGTCAGAGCCAATTCACATTCAGGGAGTTGCATAGCACGAGTGCTTATTGATCCTGGATCAGAGCTAACACTAATCACAGCTCAACTAGCCAATCTGCTGCGACAGAGAAAACACCATCAGACAATCAACATAAGAGGAGTGGGCAGCTTTAAGCTCACTCAAACAAAAGGTGCAATATTCTGCGAGCTACAATCATTATTATCCAGTCATTCAGTATACATTCGAGCTCACATAATGAAACAGTTGACAGCTTTAATTCCAAAAGTGCCATGTAATTATCCCAACAATCATTGGCCTCATTTCGATGGATAAACACTAGCTGATCCAACATTTAACATTCTACAATCAATAGACGTTCTACTTGGAGCTGACTTGGATGGACAAATCATCAAACAAAATATCATATATTATTCTCCAACAGCTCCTATAGCTCAACGTTCGATCTTTGGTTAGCTAATTCTTGGTCCAGTAGCACTAAATTCATCAGTCAATCACTATCATATTCATCATGCTAAAACAATCAAAAACCATAAAGACATTTAAGAGTTGCTAACAGAATTCTGGGTCCAAGAAGAAGTTCCTATGTCAAATCAACATCAATTATCATTTTTGGACCAACAGTGTGAAGATTTCTTCAACTCAACTCACTCTAGACACTCATCAGGACGATACATTGTCAGAATTCCACTCATCTCTTTACCTGCAGCTCTTGCAGACTCCTATACAACTGCGTATCGATGCTTGAAACGTCAGTTGAGGAGTTGAACCAACGAGACTGAATACAGCAATCTCTAATCAAGATTCTCAGGACATTCATCCATACTTTCTCCCTCATTATGGGGTATTAAGACCAAGTAGCACTACTACCAAGCTCAGAGTAGTCTTCAATAGATCCAGCCCGACGGCAACTGGAATCACATTGAATGACATCACTCATACTGGAGCAAAAATTCAATGAGATATCTTTGACGTACTTCTTTGAGTTCGTCAACATCAAACGTATTCGCAACTGACATAACAAGAATAGATCGTCAAATAATGGTTCATCAAGAAGATTAGAAGCTTCAACAAATTCTTTGGCTGGACAATCACAACAAAATCATTCCATATCAACTCACAACAGTAACCTACGGCACTAGATCGGCTCCTTATGTAGCAGTTCGCGGGTTACTGCAATTAGTAGAAGACGAAGGCCATAAATATCCAAAGGCAACTCAGACAATCATAAAAAGCAGATATGTCGACGACATATTTGGAGGAGCAGATTCTCCGAAAGAATTAATTAAGTTGCTGAGGAACTAATCAACTTGTGCAAGGCGGGCTTTCCCCTCACAAAATGGCAATCAAACAGTCAATCACTTCTTCAAAAAACTTTACAATTATCAGTCAATCAACAAATAATCACCTTCGAAGACTGCACGACAAAAATTCTTGGATATCAATCGAATCTAAGCTCAGACACATTCACATTTTCATCAAAATCAGTCACTCATGAGTCAACATATTCAAAACGCCTCATTCTTCCAGAAGTAGCTTAAATTAATGATCCTTTGGGGTTCGTGTCACTAATCACAATCAGAGCTAAGATGCTCGTTCAAGAACTCTGGTTACACAACCTTAGCTGGGACGAACCAGTCCCACAATCAATCATCAATCGCTGGCTGATCATCAGAGAAGAATTCACTCAACTTCATGAGATCTCACTTCCACGATGGATTCACACAACCAGACATTCAACTGTAGAAATTCATAGATTCTCTGATGCTTCACAGCTTGCGAGCTGCAGCAATCTACTTTAAAGTCAATTTACTGTCCACAGGGCCCAAAATAACACCCATCTGTATAAAAACTAAAGTAGCACCAATTAAACAAATCACGATCCCCAGGCTATAGTTAACAGCTGCGATAATTCTAGCGAAACTCACGAAGTATGTTCGAACTACACTCTACCGAGTGAACATACATTTAATTCACTTACGGACGGACTCTTCAATCACTCATTCATGGATCAATTCAAATGCAGGCCGCTGGAAGAACTTTGTCAGGAACAGAGTAGTGAGAATTTAAGAACGACTTGCGGACGCGCACTGGCACCACATTTCTGGCAAGGAAAATCCAGCAGACTGTGCTTCAAGAGGCATTACAGCCAATTAATTAAAAGATTACTCGCGATGGTAAAGGGGACCCACTTTGTCAGTTGGAAATCAAGAAAACTAGCCAGTCAATTCACGACCAGCTGACGAGGCTAGCAACTTAGAAGCTCGTCCTCGAATTTCACTTATAGCAGCAATTCGAGACACAATCATTTAATGGGACTTGGTTTACAGATATTCTACACTCAACAAATTACTTAGAATGACCGCTTTAATCATAAACTTCACTTCAAGACTTCAACATTCACCAGTTACCAGTCCTTTAGCATCAATCACAACAGCTGACATCGAAAAGGCCGAGAATCTTCTGGATAAAGTCTACTCAAGCAGCACATTTTCACCAAGAAATCTGGACTTTATCCAACAATCAACATCTTCCCCCAAACCATTCATTCAACAGACTCACAGCATATGTTGACTCAGAAGGAGTTCTACGAGTAGGAGGACGACTTCAGCATGCTTAGTTGAGTCACGATTCAAAACATTAATCAATTCTTATTGTTAGACATTATCATTCCACCACACTACATGGTAGCACTCAACTTACTCTCACAACAATCAGACAACGTTACTGGATCATGGGTGGAAGAGTTCCAGTAAAAACATTTATTCTTCGGTGCATCGAATATGCTCGACAAAGAGGCATAAGAGCACAACAACTCATGGGCCAATTGCCACAATTACGTATCACTCCTTCACGGCTATTATCTCATACTGGCATAGATTATGCTGGACCATTCACAATTAAAACATCATCAAGCAGAGGAGCCAAGACAAGAAAAGCTTAGGTCTGTGTATTCGTTTGCATGTCAACTTCTGCAGTTCACTTGGAAGCAGTTAGTGACTATTCATCTGAAGCATTCATTGCTGCCTACAGGAGATTTACCTCTAGACGAGGATTATGCCTGACAATCTATTCTGACTGTGACAGAAATTTCATAGGAGCTGGTATAGAACTCAAGAAACTATTCACACAATTCACCAGAGAACATGAGGTCATCTCTAGATTCATCATCACCAACGGCACTCAATGGTCATTTAACCCACCTGCAATTTTTGATTTTTTACTTTATTACTTAATTACTTTCTTGTGTTGTATAGATTTTTCGCTATCTTTGAAATCTGTATACGTAAAATTAATGTTTAACATTCATAAAACCTAACAAAAATAATTTTTAATTGTTTACATTATTATTTTTATGAAGTTTGTTGATTCTTCTACGTACACCGCTACGATTTTTACTATACGAAAGTTAAAGAAAATAATATATTTTCAACATTAACGTAACAATACATTAAGTTGATGAAATATATTGTTGAATGATTTAATTAAATTAGCTACAATATTTGTAAAAATTCCTTTCTGGTCAAATGAATTTTACCGGAATTTATCGTAAACCTCGAGTTTCTATTGACGAGATATTTCAAGTGAATTTTGCTTGACTCGACGATCATCCATATAAGTGAAGGAGTTTCTAGTATTTTCTAGAATTCTAGCAATACTGCTATTATAATGGAAATAAAACACAAAACACCTTTTTAAGGCAGTTATTTCACTGAGTACATTTTCTTCGGATTCTTTCGAAATTTCGACAGATTATTATTGAAGTAATTTTTCACCGATATGTGCAGACTAAAACTCATGTACAAAATAGTCCTAGAGGTATTTAATTCCCAAGTTCGCTTTTTTTGCGACTCTTATACAAAATCTACTATCTGATCATACGATACACTCTAGCTTAGACTTCTTACTACTAGTAATGTCGAGAAACAACTACTTTGAACATCTTATCATACAACAAAGTTTATGTGTATTCTGGTAATTTAGCAAAAATTGAACAGCTGCAACAGCAGCAGCAACCACAACAAAAACCACAACAACCGCAACGAATTGATCCGAGCCAGAATATTTTTGCATTTTTTTTACGTGAGGGCCCCCGGGGTTATAAGATGTTTCTGTCCTTAAGATATGTCGCGTAACAACGGGGGCAGATTGTAGATCATAGTAGTCTGAATGTGGGCACGTCGAACACGCCGAGCGCGAGACGCGTTAGCGAGCGCCGATCAAAGCGGAAAAAGTTGGTACTACGGGAGGCCAAATTCTATGCTCTGTGCCTGGGGCTGCAAAGTCAAAATATGACATGTAGGCCGAAGTACAACTGGCCATTTGAGGTCAGACTCGACTGTAATTACTCATAATAAACAATCATGCTCGTTTACTATTCATACTTACTTCAACAATCGAGCTTTTTTGTATAGTATAGTTTAAGCCGCTTATTGTTAATGCAATGTATAGTTTGAGGACACAACGTTCCTACGTTATATCTAATGGCACATAAACTTTTAATTGTTAGTAAATAGAAATTCTCAAAATAGTGCATTGTAGTCTAATCCAGTGTACAGAAAAGAATGCTTACCCATGAAACGAACTTTCAAATCAAGAACGGAGATTCTAACCGACTTTTCTCAAACTATACGTTAGACATGTTTATATATATACATCAATATCAATCAACTTGTCGCAGTTTAAGAAAACATGAAAATGATTTCAGGATAACAATTGCTACTTCTGCAACAGCAGCATCAAGCCCAACTCCAACTCCAACAACTACAATTGCAGCAGGAGCAGCAGCTACAACAACTGCAGTACAAGCTACAACTTTAACAGCAAAAGCCCTGGTAACAGCAGATTGCGCAACTGGAACAACAGCTACATCGTGGTGAGCGACCTGCACAGCCGAATCGCAATCGTAAGTTGTTATACATGTATGTTATCACAACTTAACAAAAATAATTAGATATAATTGTAAAAAATTTCATGTAATTGAACACAATTATATACAAAGTTTAGATGTACGTTCTCATAATATAACAAAAAGTTAAAAAATTATCTACGTTATATAATATTTCGTAATAAATCTTATACAATGAGACTTCATTGTGATGTTGAATGACAAGAATAAATAGTTAATACTCAATTTGGCATTTCAGGGTACAATGCAGCAGGTCGTAGCCGAGCAATGTGGCGTGGTAGAAGAGGTGAAGGAAGGGGGCGGGTGACTAAACCTGTAATCAATAAATTTTACGGACGCCATTTCCATGATCATTAAACTTGAGTTATTATTTATCTTTCAATGATACATTATTTTCGATCCTTTTCCGTTATCCTTGCAATCTTCTTTCCAGAAAATATGTTTATTAACGATAAGTAACTCGCAATATACGCCATTGCATATTCTACATCATAATTTCAACAAAATGAGTGACTCAGGCCAAAAGGCACTTAAAATTCTACTTGACGAAAGTCATAAATAATCGGGTCAAATTTCTTCCAAATATTAGACGTTCTTTCGTTTATGGCGGAACTTATCAATCTGTTATATTTAGAGGAAAAAATCTAAATAGTTCCTTGTCAAACTAGTTGAGTGAAATTTTTATTTGCTGAGCAGTTAGTCTTTGTTGATCGTTCAAGCTATTCATTGGTTTGTAGATATATCGAATTGAAAAAGTACTTTGTCACAACAATTGATAATAATTGGTGTTGATTTTGTGCATTCGGTATTATCACCCCCCAACTTAACCATCAGGAGTCTATATTTGGTAATTCTGGAACGAACATTTCATCCTAGAGAGTTATTCATCGCCTGCAAAGATACAACCAAGGCATTGCTTTTGGTAAGATGATTTGATTCATTTTTGCTTTTCCTAAAGTTTATGGTAGATAGAAAATTTCACTATAAACACCACAGTAGTTTAACGAGCAACTTAGATAGTCACCCTATAACTTTACCATGAGCTCACATTACTTTTATGGTCTGAGGTTGACTTCTTCTAGTAAGGTTCGTTACAGATGATTGCGATAGCCAACATCGCTACTCTGGTAATTATCTGGTGGCCTAGAAGTCAACGTTTCGTTTTGTACTCGAGAAAAAAACCGTAACGGTTCAAAAAGTCACTCTAGTTCAGCAGCGACTCGAGTGATAGCTAAATCGATGAAACAATTTTATTTCTGTTCTTCTCAGTAAAATTTCACTGTTCCAATAAGAATACATGAGTATAAGCTATATAATGACATTTGTTATACTTTAATTAAAAGTTTATTAACCATTCATGACTACAAGGAGAGCTGTTTGACTTACTACAATAATCCATCTAAAAATTCTATGAAAATAAAAGTTGCGTTCGAGTCTTGACGAATGCTTGACATAGCTCACTTTTTTATACAGCATGAGCGAATAACTCTGATTATCACAACGTACACGAGAGAGAGGAAACGCATTTTTCATTATTAGAACATAAGTAAAAGCGCTAAAACACATGTTTTTTGCTTGGAAAAAACGTTCTAGTATTATGAAACAATAACGGATGTTGGAACGCATGTTTCACTATGAGGACATAAATAATACCGTTAGAACGTAATCCATATTAACAAAACATCAATTGGAACATTACGACCTATATTTGAGACTTTGAATATAAATTAGTTTATATAAGTTCGTTAGAAGATATATCTAATCATTAGAACAAAAGTGGAAACGTTAGAACACATAATATAACGTTGGAACATATTCTTGTTTATTTGAACGTAGTTTAGACAATTGGAACGAATATTGGACGATTAGAACATTGAAGAAAATTCTTAGAATAAATTCTCCATTATTAGAACATAAACCGGAACATTAGAATACATATTCGACTATTTGAACGTAAAGACGTTCGTTAGAACATACATTTAATCATTCAACCATAAGTTAAAACGTTTAATTGTATGAGTCAACGTTAAAACATCTTGACGAACATTAAAACATGAATAAATTGTTTGAAACATATGTGTTATGGTCAAAATATATGTGTGAACTTTTAAACACATAATTTATTATTGAACCATAAGTTGAATCGTTGATATACATATTAAAACATTATTTTTGTCTCATTATGAGAACGTGATGCTTCCATCACAAAATAAATAAAAATTTCAAATAATTCTTAGTAAAATTAATAATTATTAATTCAGAAATTGAAATTATTATATTATCAATTACTTTTATATTGAGTAATTTCACAAGAAATATCAATTACAGAAGTCGTTTGTAATTCGATCCATAAAATTACAAATTACTTTTTTAATTTGTAATTGGATTCTTTAAAACACAAATTACGTTATCAATTGATAATTTTAATAAACATCTCATTCATATACGATTTTAGCTGTACGATGGATTTCAATATTGATATCATTTCACTGGCATCACTGAAATGACCAGCAGCACGTGGTAAAAGAAGTAGATACAATCGAACGAGTTGTTGAGATGATCCCAAGGAGCGTAATCTCGTGGTCAATTACGGTCTATCATAAATTATGGCAAACCGCTACTGTACTCTGGTGAATGTATACTTATAATGGTTGTATTCAGGACGACTCAACACAACTCAGCATTGAGCCCTTATTGAGTCAACATATTTAGCCCGAACACAATCGTAGTAAACACATAGAAATCGAGTAATGACTGCTGGAGTGCTAAAATTGAAATGAATAAAAGTAACTTGATAATCAAAGTTAAAATTTATTGTTGTTTTTTGTTTTATTAATTATTAATAATAATTGAAAACATATATTCATTAAAAATAGTGGTTTGGTAATTAAAACCAAATAAACACTTGTCTAACCCAGAAAGCTTACATATATAATTTATTTTCAGTAACTAAATATTTATTTCACCACTCTCAAGTATGGGATTTGTTAACTATAACCAAATTTTGGTTGATAGAAAGAAATTCTTATCTCAGTGCACTATTATAAACCAATTATCGTTCAAATTCCATACTCACAGCTGTCAATTTTGTGGACTGGAAACAAAACAAAAGATGTTTATAGGAGCCAACCTCTCAGATGCACCTTGTGAAAAACTTGATATTAAATATTCAAATAATCAAGAAAATATAGGAGCTTGGAGTTATTATTGGTCGTTTGTTGATTGATTTATTGGAATTGTAGAATTTATCAATTATTCATGGCATACCAAGACTTAGAGATTCTTTTGTTTATGGAAATTAGCGATTGAAGTCTCAATAACGCAAGGAGAAGCAGAGTTGAGAACATCAAGTAAATTTGTCAATAATATGAACTATTGAGAAGAAAGTTGGGAGCCTGTAGTAAAGTAGAGAATCAAAAGCAGCCTGTCACCCTGTAGTTTTTTCATGTTGGGAGAAATCCTAACCCTAAGGGTTGTATTTATAAAGCTGTTACCAATAAAATGGGATTCTAAGAAAAAAATAGAAACGTGAAAGTAGTCGTGAAATAATGTTTTTGAGCCTGAAGATCAAGTTTCGGAATTACAATTAAGTTTTGTTGCATATTAGTTTCAAGTCACTTTTCTATATGATAATCTAGGAGAAGTCACGTGAAAGTAACCACCAATAAAGAGTATTGCACAACAAATTAAAAAATTTTGAGTTTAGAGGGAGATAAGGAGAATAGAAAATAAAAGATTTTCAAAACACAGTAGCGAGTCGAGTGTAGGCCCTGCCTGTGGTTAGTTGAGTGTACTAACTGAAGGAGCAGAGATCCCGCACACAAAATGAAGACCAGCAATGATTTTTAATTCCAGTAGAAGGAAGTCCAGAACAGCTTGGACTAGGATTGACAAAAGATAAACGTCGAAAGCTCTCGGTAGAAGTTGTATGATATTGAGGTTTGATTTGAATGGGTTAACAAGGTAAATTTGTAGTCGAGAATATTTTATAGTATAGAAGAAAATCCGTGAGGCTTAGTTTGTTCTTTTACTCATTTATTTAAGGTTAATAGTGGATTTGGTTAAAGAAGATTATACGTTATTGAATTTAGGATTTTGAGTTATGATTTATTAAGAAATATTTTGTTAAAGAAATACTCTTTAGTTAGTTTATGTACGATTTGTTGAGATCTAATTGTAACACGTTAAAGTTTAGTTTAGTTTATTTTGATGACTGTACTGGCATTAAGGAAGTACTACCGATACCGAAGGTGTTAAATTAGTTCTTTGTGTAATTTGACTAGTATTTTTATTTCGCAACACCGCGTAAAAGAAAAAGAGATATAATCTGTTTCACTCAGAATATGAGATCATGCGCATAAATCTATTGGGCATTAAATTCCAATTTTAAAATAAAAAAAAGGCTTATATTGAAGTTAATTTATATTATTCTATTTATTTCATAACATGTTGCCTTATTTAGTAATGTAACTGTATCAATAATAAAAATTATATTATATGTTTTATACTACAAAATGTGTATAACACTAAAATTCCCTCGTATCGCAGTCATGTATGTTTTAATTTCGCGCCCGTCGTAACCTATGAACGGCGTTGCCACATCTAAGTAACATAGTGCTTTTTTCTTGATTATTTATAAATTACTTTTACCACAAGCTCTAAACCTTGGATTTTATTTGAATACAATATACAATAAAGTTTTCTCTTTCCGTTGATATGACTATTATAGAGCCTGAACGTCCAGTTTTGTAAAATAAAATGAAGTTTGCAATTTCCCATAAGGATCAATGCTAAAGGACAAAATTTTCAAAGATTAATATCTTTTTTTTAGCTCACTGTAAGCCTTTGAAAATTTAACTGGTAAATTATGATATTATAATGTACTGACATGCCAAATTTTATTGAATTCTGAACGTGAATTCCAAAAAAGGTAGGACTACCTTAAGTTGTATTTAATTTAGAATGTTAAAACGATATGTTGAGAGTAGATAGGCTATGAGAACTCTACCGCAATTTTTTTTTCAAAAAGACGTGAAAAGTAGGGGAGGAGGAGGCAAGGGCGAGTCTCTAAGAATTTTGTGGCAAAACTCTCATAGCTGTAGACGTAAAAAGTTGAAAGAGGGTAGGTCTCTAAGGCTATTGCGGTAGATCTCTCATAGCTGTAGACTTTAAAAGTGGAACGTGGGGGGCTATTAGGTTTTGTTGCGGCGGGGGGTGAAAGGAGGATTCTTGAGGCAAGATATCGCCTCGGCAATACCTAAGTGTAGGCGTGCAGTGCCTCAGCATGTGGACAACATAGATGGGAAAATCTTTCTAGATAATCACTAAAATTAAACAGATGAGCATC